TCGCCGGGCGGGCGGCCTGCGCAGGGGTGGGAGGCCGACGCGACACGCGTGTTGCAACGCGCGCTCGCCGCTCAGCCCCATGGTGCTCGCGGCGGCGGCGGCGGGGGCGGTGGCCGTAGAAACACTAGTAGTAATGGGCACGAAGGGGAGCGCATGGGGACGAGTCTAAGCTAACACACTACAGGTATTTCTGTACTCGTACTTTGTGGAAATATTCATTTGACGGAGATGACGGTAGCCGCTGACCTTTCAAATGTCTATGAATCAAGATTGAGTATCCACTCAACAAATTTTTCCTTTGACAGTCTTTACCAAGAGACATTTAAAACCTTTTCGAAAACCAACATCGCAATACTTTAAGTCCACATAAAATGAAAACTAGTGGTACTACGATAGAACATGCTTTCACGAATTATTGAGAACTGTAACGTAATATTATAATATTGCAATTTCTACTCTATTAACACTTTAGCCATCAGTAGAAAAAATGTAAACCAATTCAAACGAAGGGCCTGGGGTGGGTGTCTTTATTCAGTATTCGAGTAATCTGCTTCCGACCGTGCGTCTATCCGTCACGCACGGTTAGACCCCTTCGCGTCCTCTAATCGAGACAATTGAGGTATCATTCGAAGAGCCTCGGTCTGTTGGTGAGAAACTGACGATGGTTTCGGATCCATTTTGAAGATTCTAAGAAATGTCTCCAAAAACGGGTTGTTTGCCTTTTTATAGCGCTGCAATCATGGGCGATCTAGTGGTAGCAAAAACATCTTTCTTAATATTTAGTTATTTTAGTCATATGAGTAGAATATACATTATGGTTATCTTTATCTTCCAGAATAAAATTGCATGAGTCCAACATATATCCATCCAATTAACATCTCAGAGGTTAACTTCGTTTGCTATTAAATATAAATTTAAAAGCTGAATTGAAACGAACCAATCAACAATTGTATCTTCAATGAAGTTCTGAGAATATTTATATTATCTTCTAACCTAAATTTTCAATTATTGTCGTAGGTGAAGGATGGCCCAATGTTTCTTCTTTTATATCTTCTTCGTAAACTTTTCATTAGCTAATGACATGTATTTCTCCCGAAAGCTATTTTTTTCTTATTTGTACATGTAACTTCACTATCTGCACATTTTATATAGTTGAGTGGAATGTATTTTTATTCAACTTATCGTTCTCCACGTTCTCGCGGAGAGACGTCGATTCCTTCACGAAGGGTACAATGAGGGTTAAGGAACGAAATCTAAAGCTGAATTGACTTAACAAACAGTTTCTATTGCACAGAAGCGAATATTTTCTTATCAATTCTTGCCAAAAATGCTCATTTCCGTCTGAGATGTATCAACGCATTTCAAGTGTAATTTCAAGTATAGCTTGGTTAGTCGAATTGCCTAACTAAGCTCCGTAAAATCACGGAAGTGATGCAATTCGACACGCAAGGAATTCCCGGATGGGTGACCGTCTGGAAACTCTGCGTTCTAACGGCACCGAGCCTGTGTCCAAAGGGATAAAAGGCATAGACGGAATGTGAGATTATGAGGCACCCGTTACACAACTTGACGAAGGATTACTCCAAAGTGTGTACGTTCAATGACCAAAAAGGGCTTAAAAGACGTGTTACGTAAAAACACGCAACGAACGATTATATATATATATATATATATATATATATATATATATATATATATATATATATATATACAATTATAATAGACACACCCATATATTACATATATATAGACACACCCACACATATGGGTTAGGGTAGGGATCCCAGAATTTAAGACAACGTGCACATACTACACTTCTCCCCATAGCACGCCACGGAGAGCTTTGAGCCCCCTTTCCCTTCGTTAAACCAATCCATAAGATAAAATTCGCCGCGGCGGCCGAGGGCACTCACTTGTGGCCGTTGCGCGAGGCGAGGTGCAGCGGCGTGTGCGGGAACTGGCGCGAGCGGGCGCCGCCGCGCGCCGAGTACGGCTGCATCAGCTCCGGGTGCGTGCGCACCAGCAGCTCCACCGTCTCCAGCCTGCGCACACGCCACGCGCACGGACACACACGCGCTCGCAGCGCTCACTGCGCACACAGTCTCGCTGCGATTACAGGTTGGAACCTCCTGGATCCCTGCATCGTTATGGATTGACACAATATCTCTGCTGACACCCAAGAATTAAATATTTGTTAAATGAAAGAGTTAAATAATAATTCATTTTTAAAATGTAATTTTTATTGGATATAATTTTACTGCTACTAATTTGGGGGTACTGGCTTGGCATTCGCCCGATGTGGATCGGAGCAACCTAGGGAAAATACCGATCAGAAGCAGCCGGCCGCTAGAATTCTCCTCCAGACAGCGACAGAATGCCACTTAGCTCTCTAGCTAGTGAAAGTCGTGCCATCGTCGGGAGTGGAACTCTAGGGCCTCCCGGACAGAGGGTCTGCGGTGACGTCCACCGACGCACTGAGACGCCTCAGCCGGTGGGAGGCGGATGGT